TCTTTCAATTTATCCCCATTACTCCTTGTCCTGTCACTGCAGTTCCTAACCAAGAGTCCCTCTCCAGCTTCCCTGAAGCCCCTTCAGGTCCTGGAAAGCTGCTATGAGGTTCCCACACAACCTTCTCTTCTCCAGGCTGAACAGCCCCAACTCCCTCAGCCTGTCATTGTAGGAAAGGTGCTCCAGTTCTCTTATCAGCTTTGTGGCCTCCTCTGGACTTGCTCCAGCAGTTCCATGGCCTTGTGTTGAGGACACCAGAACTGTGTGCAGCACTCCAGGTGGGTCTCAAGAGCACAGGGGGAGAATCACCTCCCTTGACCTGCTGCCCACACTCCTCTGGATGCAGCCCAGGATTCCGTAGGTTTCTGGGCTGTGAGCTCACACTGCAGCTCATGGTGAGTTTCTTATCCACCATCACACCCAACTCTTTCTCCTCAGAGCTGCTCTCAATTGGCCCAGTCCATGGGTTTTTTTCTAAATACTACAGCAAACCTGCTTTGACTCTTCCCCTTTACTAATTTTCTAGGCCACATGACACCTCACACTATTTACAAATGATGTTACTTTTTCCACAGACTAAATTAAAATATTAAACAAGACTAGGGGAAACTGATGGAGGAAAAATACCTTTGTCTCCATCATAACACATGAAACACGACTATTTTTCTACAGAGAGTATGAAAGTAGACACTAACTCATTTCCTTGCTTTGGTTTTCTTTAGGAGCTCAGAAATAATATCTTTCAGAATTCCAGTATTCCGTTTAATTGAACGTGTCATTTTTTTCCACATGTATTTATGGCTGAAAGATCAATTAGAATTCCTTGGTGGCAAGTCATTCCCATCAGTTCAATTACCCCATGTAATTGTTTCAGCAATCATAGTTAAATATCCATTTTAATTTTTATTTAGAGACTCAATTACCAAGCATTAAGCAGATGTAAACACTTCTTCCCTGGTACAAACACCGTTTTACCCCTCAGCATCCTCTAAGTCTTAGAGATGTGCATGTAGTCCTTTAAAACCTCTGTGTAAATTTTAGGGCTTGCTAATCCTTCTTTCAACATACTTGCTGAAGACAAACCATCGTGGTTTATTAGACCTGAGCATGGGGAGAGAGATACTCTTACCTGCTTCCATCCCACGTGTCCTACAGCCCCAAAAGCCTTCATGGATTTATCTGTGCCTTATCCCCCTCTGCCTTTCAGATGGGAAGGAATGTGATTTATCAAGAAGAATTCTGTTTCTGTGGTGCTTTTACAGACCTATGTTAATCAGTGGTTGATCCATTTGCAGCTGATGCTCTCATCCTTCCCTAGAGTCTCTCCCAGATAGACTCATTCACAAGCTGCTAGGAGGTATTGTCACTCAATTCCATTCTTGCACAGAATACACTCAACTTCAGAGGGGTGCCTGTCAAGCAACTCCATATTTTCCCCTCCATCCTAAATCCATTTTTTTGCAGTACATCAAAATGTAAATCTAATTTCCCCCCCCTGCTGTCTTAAGAGTCACAACCATAGTAGAACCAGCCTGGAAATGGGAAACCAGAACGATCAACGTTTCTCCTAAAGTCCAGAGAGAGCAAATGTTGTCAGAACATCTAGTTACAAGTGCACTAAAACTCCCCCAAGGAGAAAGAAAATGCAGAGTTGGTTAAACATTTATAGGCACCTCTGAGTTTCAGTTACTGTATGCAGAGCACGATACAGTTTCCTCCCAGAGCGACACCTGCTCTGCTCTCAAATCTTTGTGTTATCACCAAGAACCATTTAATCTAAGTGAATAAAAGGTTCATCCTGCCTTCCCCACTGACTACTTCAAAAAAACCTCAAAACATTAACAGCCATCTTTGCCCAACCTAGGAAAACATGAGCCCACCCAGGGGATTGTAGTGGCAGCCATGGGAACACACACAGCCCATTTTACAGCAGCTTCAGGTAAAACCAGTTAAAATTCCCAGTATGGCTTTGTAGTATTTATAGAGCAATGCTTTAAATCAGAAACAACTATCACCATGTTAACACATTCCCTTCGAAACTCTCACAGCTGAGCTTTGCCTGGTTGCCTTAGTGATCCCAATAAACACACCAAGGCAACTTGTTTTCATGGCTCTTCTCTCCGATGGAGGCACTGAAATTAAAAAGTCAAGTTGTGGGATGAAGTTGACACTTGGGTATTGTGACACTTGGAAAGTCTTACTCAGACACATTTTAACTACAAAAACACCTCAGTCTTGGGTACAGCAGCCAACCTCACATCTTTGTGGGAATAAGAAACAAAGGAAGGAAGAGACAGTATCCGTTTGCCCCAAATCCCTTTTACCTACCTGCACAGCCAAAAGCTAGGTGATACCTGGAAGAGGGGCTGAATTTGACACAACACACATTAGCCTTAGCCTCGATGCTTGCTACTGAGTTGTCCAAGTTGGTAGACCAGAGTTTCACTAGAGAAAGTGAAAGAGAGACATGAGTAAACAAAATCCAACATTGACCTCACCTGAAAGGCATAAAATCTAGTTAATTCATAAATTAGATTGTGAAAAGCCTCAGTTGCCAAGATATTAGAGATCGGAAAGGATCAGTTGTCACCGGTGACTGGTAAGTTTGAGAACATTCTCAGTTCCACACTGTAAATATCCTGCCCACCTCCAAACACACAGGAGATGCCAAAAGGCATAGTACCATAGTATGTTAAGGGGTTGGAATAGACCTTAAAGATCATCTAGTCCCATTGCAGTTCCTAACCAAGAGTCCCTCTGCAGCTTCCCTGGAGCCCCTTTAGATTCTGGCAGGTTGCTATGAGGTCCCCATACAATTTTCTCTTCTCCAGGCTGAACAGCCCCAACTCTCTCACAGCCTGTCCTGGTAGAGAAGATGCTCCAATCCTCTTATCAGCTCCGTGGTCTTCTCTGGACCTTCCCTAGCAGTTCCATGTTCTTATGTTGGGGACACCAGAACTGTGTGCAGGACTCCAGGTGGTTCTCACAAGAGCAGAGAGGGAGAATCACCTTTGACCTGCTGCCCACACTCCTTTGGATGCAGCCCAGGATTCAGATGGCTTTCTGTCCCCATCCCACATGGCTGAGACCATCAGAGGAGGTGACTAACCACATAATATAATCTCAGAGTTTAAGGTTACTGCAGTGCAGACTCATACACCCAAGAACAGGAAGGCTTACATCATTTTCTGTTCCTCATTCCTTCACTGGGATGCAAGAACTCCATGCTCTGTGGCAGAATGGCTTTGCACAGAATAAATATACCTAATTGTATGCACAGTGAGTGAGAACAACTTGTTTTATTCTTGAGAAACTGGCACAGACAGGAAAGAAATCAGTATGCTGCCTTCCTAGGATGCAATGCTCCCTTGGTACAAGAACTTTACTGTTCTACAAGGCTACCACATGAACAGTGATTAAACTATGTGCTACAGAATGAGCTCTTCCCCCAAGCACTCCAGTGCTTCACAGCATGCCCAACAAAAAACACCAGAGCCTTTCCAAATACAGCCTTCCCCACCCATCAGAAACACTTCCAAGTACCACTGAACCTTAAGATGAAGAGTGTCAGGTGCTCCTCACATAGTTAATCTTGTTATTAAAAGCCAAAGAAACAACACACTGCTGGATGAAGGAGCAGGAGGTTGGCATCAAGCCCTGTTGGTGGCTACAGGGCAGCAAAGACTTAAACCTTTCCCTTTCCCCATTTTCTTGCTGAGTGGGTTGAGCTGTACTCAAGTATCAGGATCAGTATGCTGAGGCAGGGAGCAGAGCAAGTTAAAACCAATGGTTGGACAAGCAGGAGCTACATGAAGGGTTCATCCCCTCAAGAGCTCCCCATGAGCTCTTCAGATCTGTAACCAATGGATTCTCCCCAGCCTTTTTACAGAAAGCTGACTTTTACAGAATCATCAAGGTTGGAGGAGATACGTACTCAAGTATCAGGATCAGTATGCTGAGGCAGGGAGCAGAGCAAGTTAAAACCAATGGTTGGACAAGCAGGAGCTACATGAAGGGTTCATCCCCTCAAGAGCTCCCCATGAGCTCTTCAGATCTGTAACCAATGGATTCTCCCCAGCCTTTTTACAGAAAGCTGACTTTTACAGAATCATCAAGGTTGGAGGAGATACAAGATCGAGTCCAACCATTGTCACTGCTGCAGATCCTCCAGCACCATATCCAGACACCTCTTAAACACTTCCAGGGATGGTGACTCCACCACCTCCCTGGGCAAGCTATTCATGCCTGACCACCCTAACAGTGAAAATCGTTCCTAATATCACCCTTGGAGGTGAAGTAAGCAAAAATGGCCAAAGAATGAGAATCTTGTAACCCACTGTGGCCAATACATGAATGCAGAAGTCTTATGGTGTGTCCCCTAACACCCTCTGAGGAGTCCTCTGTATCACCTCTTGGTCAGCCTTTCCCAGGGGTTTTGAAGAACAAGCAAGGCTTCCATGTGGATTCCTCAAGGATGTTTTAGATGGTGAAGGAAAAGGATGAACACTGACAGTTTGGTTCTAGTGCACCTACTTTTTAATAGTATAGCAAGCAATGAAAAGCAGCAAGATTGGGCCATTTCTGACCATACCTAGGAGAAGTGCTCCAAGGATGGAGGAAATCCAGCCCTGCTCAGAGCACACCAAGGAATCATTTTAAATACAGCACTGTGTGGGCATCTGGCAGCTGCCTGGAACCATTAGAAAGCAGCACACACCCGCCAGAAATACAAACATTGATGCATAACTCTGTTTGCATAGAAGCATTATGTAAAATTCAATGAAAACAGTACCCAGTCTGTGGGCTGTTTTCAGAAATAAATCCATACTCATTGATCAGTGCTATAAAATCCATTCCTAAACACCTAGATATGTTCCTGAATTGCAAGCATGGCTGAAGTAGCTCTTTTCTCCCAAGCAGGACTGGATGAAAACCCTTCTCCACTTTGGTCTGCACTTGGGGGCAGAGAAGGGAAGAGGGGCAATGAAGAATTTTGCAATACAATAAAACATTAACATTTGGCTCTAATGAACAGACACCAAGGGATGTGTAGTCTAAATTCCAGTGGCAGTAAAGGGCATCAAGTTTATGGCTGAGATTGTACAGCAAGGAAATAATACCACAGGTACAAGAGGACAGTGTTGGCAGACAAAAACGATTCAACTTAAAATCATAGAGTCATCAAGGTTGGAAGAATCATAGTATGTTAAAGGGCTGGAATGGAGCTTAGAGATGATCCAGCCCCAAGCCCTGCCCTGGGCAGGGACACCTCCCACCAGAGCAGGTTGCTCAAGGCTCATCCAACTTGGCTGTGAACACTGCCAGGGTTGGGGCAGCCACAGCCTCCCTGGGCAACCTGGGACAGTGTCTCACCACCCTCACAGGGAAAACTTCTGCCTAATATCTAATCCAAATTTCCCCTCTTCCAATTTATCCCCATTACTCCTGGTCCTGTTACTGCAGTTCCTAACATAAAGTCCCTCTACAGCTTCCCTGGAGCCCCTTCAGATACTGGAAAGGGCCTTTAATATCATCAAGTCCAACCATTAACCTGTCACTCTGCTGTAACCCCATAACCATATCTTCCAGTGCCAGATCAAGACACCTCTTAAAACACCTCTAGGCACATTGACTCCACCACCTCTCTGGGCAACCTATTCCACACTTGAGGCATGTGGGGACATTGGTCTGAACATGTGAGATCATGTAATGTTCTGCCCAATCCAGTACTAAAACAACACAGGCTTGTCTTGAAGCCTTCCAACCAGGTATCAATATTTCAAGCTGCATCCAAAGCAGCCAAGTCTCTCCTTGACACTCCCCTCTAACCAACAAATGGCCATCTGGCCTCAGTTTTGTAGCAAGGGCTAATTGAGGGCTCAATTTCAACTTGGCTCCTTTTTTTCATTCAAGTTTGCAGGTCATAAACTGAGCCATTTCATCTGCTGAAGAGACAACCAGCGTGCTCAGAGTCATCATAATATTCGTTGCAACCAGCAGACACAGATTAGAGGCTGCAATTTCTGTGCTCTAACTGCTGCGAGATACACTGTGCTCCAATTATATCTTAGTCACTCCCATAAAAAGGATAGATGGGACATATAACAACACATAATGAAACATGTCAGGTTTTACCTAGAACTGCCCATTATTTTTTAAAAGGAACTGACAGGTTAATAAAGCATAATTCATAAGGGTAGAGTTTATTTGCTGTAGCTTTCAGCAGTTTTGCTGAGGTCGAGGCAGTAATTATACAACACACAGATGTCTTGGTAACACCTAGAATTGTGTTGATGAGACAAGCAACTATCTAAGACTGACTATTTCAGAAACACATGTTCTCAAAGCATATTTTTCCTCATTTTGCAGCTGCTGAGAGACATCTCTACGTGGCCAAATGCTTATCTTTCATCCAAGTAGTAAGAAGATGCCTCCAGAAGAGCTTTTTTAGGTTAAAATGTTTAGGTCTTTAGAAGATATTTTTAATACAGTTGGAGATTTACACCAAATGTGTTAAGTTTATAAATTTACTTTCTATACATCAGTTCTGTGTTCAAACAGTGACTAAAAGAGGCAGAAGCCTGTCCTACAACAGCTGAAGCTGTTGACGTACACAGTTGGTACACTGAGAGGAAGGATGTTTCATCCAGCCTGTCACTCATGCAATTCTTATCTGCTCATGTGATGGAGAGCCTGAAATGTAAGAGTTGTAAGCCAAGAATAGGCTATTGCTACCAGAAAACTCATTTGCAGAGATTAGCAGAATCCCTAGGAAAGGAGAAAACTGCTGAATTGTCCTGCTAGACAATTTTTGATCCACTGCCTCATGCAGAGGTCAAGAGGATGATGTAAAGTGATGACTGTGAGCAGGCAGTGACTGCAGGGTACTCCTCCCTGCATAAGACACAGACTTTCTGGTCAGTATTATAACCATCAACATCATCTTGACCTTTTCAAGGTATTCTCAAAGGAATCTAACAACCCCACAAATCACCAGGAAATTATTGAACTTTTTAGCCAGAAAAATGACCAAACTGAAAGTTCAATCTGATATTTTAAGAGCAACAAACACCCACACCTCACTTTAAAGTCAGCAGAAATTGAAGGAGCAAAATATCACTGAAAATGAAGCTCCAAACAATCTTCTGGAAGTTGGAGCAAACTCTGATCTGCAGTTCACAGCTCTCTAGAAGGCTATATATCTAATTTTATGAAGCCAACTCTGCATATCTGTGAAGTCTCTCTGAATTCAGGGGCACTATTGAAAAACAAAAAGAGCTGTGGGACTGGTACCAGGGTCTCACTTATCCAAGGCAGCATGGAAATTACTTTCCTTAGATGCAATAAGACAGATGCTTGCATTCCTCCTTGCCAGGAGACAATGAAAAGTAACCTCTTGCTACAGCTCAGAGCTTTCTGGTTCCACTTCACCTCTCCATTCTGAGCCAGGAATAGTGAAGGGACTGCAGATGTAAACCCAGAACTCTTTCTTCAGTTGAATTTGTCAGTGTTGCTTCTATCACCTTGAGCTTCAAGAGGGTTTCAAAACCAACCCCAGAGCAGAGAAATTCTTGCTCAGCCCAAAACAGGCCTCTTCCTCAGTGGAGACTTAAATTCTACCACACAGCATCACAAAATATTTCACTTATCTGCTAACTTCACCGTGGTCATTAAACCACACCCCGACTCGGAACATTAAGTCATTAACATATAAGTTACATTAACATATAAGTCATTAACTCAGCTCCTTAGCTCCAGCCCTATCCTGGTACATTGATGGCATCATTTTGCTTTCACAAAATTAAACAATCTTTTCTTCTCCAGTAGCAAAAATTCACCTTTTCCTACTTACATGAGATCCATAGCTCCTGCCATTATTATGTGCATAAAAGAAATGAAATTAAAGTTGTGCCATCTCCCCAAGCTCCTTGTAGTACAAGCAAACATCAATTCTGCACATGGCTGTCTAGCTGGAATACACCTTTGGGTCCCTACAGACATACTCAAGTACCTCTGCCCCTTGAAAAGGGAAGGGCATAACAACTGCAGATAAAAGTAAGAGTTTTGTGCACACAGGAGTTACTTCAAATCCAATAGTGCTTTTATGCTCCCATTATCTGCTATTAAAGTAGAAAGATTTTCCACAAATAAGCATCCTGGATTATCTTCATCTACCAACGTGGACAATGCTGGGCCTGGGGCCTAAGGATGCTGCTTGTAATTACATCAGAATCATTTTCTCCCTAATAGCACTCTGTTAGCATCCCCTTTGCAGTGCCTGAGCTCTGGCAGAGAGAGCTGTGAAGCACAGGATTTTTCATTTCTAAGCTCCATCTCCAGCACATACCTACCAAGTGCTTTAAAAATTAGCTTCCAGCTTGAAAAGATCAAGGAGAGACAGGAAGATACACAGGCTAGCAGGGAGAACTGGCAAAGCTGTCACTTTTTTTACTGGCTTGTCCTGCTCACTTGACAGGTAAACGTGACACTTGTGCTTTGTGGAAAAGCACAGTCAGGTAAACGTGACACTTGTGCTTTGTGGGGAAGCACAGTGAGATTAGCTCCGATTGCTCTGGTCACACCAGTATCTATCAGCAGAGAGATTTTGTGTTAGAAAGCCAAGTGTGGCCTCACAGAAGCAGAGAAATAAAACAGGACAGAAAGAGTAGATAGGTATTTCCCACCAGATGCTGTACCTGCTCAAACATGTATTTGTGTGTACTCAAAGGTGGCCAGAACTCAACCAAACACTTGTGAACATAAGCAGAGGGACAAAAGTTTAAGTTATGCAGGCCTGAATTAAGATATTTGTCATAAATGTTACCTTTTCCTCACATTTAACCCTTTCAATGTGATTTCAAGGTTGTGTGGAGACCTCAGAGCACCTGCCAGGACCTGAAGGGGCTCCAGGGAAGCTGCAGAGGGATCTGTGTTATGAACTGCAGTGACAGGACAAGGAGTTATGGGGATAAATTGAAAGGGGAAATTTAGATTAGATATTAGGAAGAGGTTTTTCCCTGTTGTGGTGGTGAGACACTGTCCCAGGTTGCCCAGGGAGGCTGTGGCTGCCCCAACCCTGGCAGTGTTCACAGCCAGGTTGGATGAGCCTTGAGCAACCTGCTCTGGTGGGAGGTGTCCCTGCCCAGGGCAGGGGTTGGGGCTGGATCATCTCTAAGCTCCATCCCAACCCCTTAACATACTATGATTACTGAAATAGAAGGTGGACACTAACATGAGCTTGGACATTAGCTACTATTGCTGTACCTTAAAGACTCCCAAAATCTGTGCTGAGACTTCATCTGTCTCTAATGGACTCTTTACATATGCAAATCACAGGCAAGTATGGTGGAAATAAGGGATAAAATGTTCCAGCCCAGTTTTACCCACCAAAACCCCAATACACCTTCAAAAGACCTCTGTGAATTGAAATACAGCTTATGTAGATCTGCAGGATTTATTACAATAATTTCTAAGTAAACAGTACACTTCCAGAGACTATTACTGGAGAAGTGAACTGTTAAACTGAGGACAGGAGCTCTGCTTGCAGCTGGGCTTTGCAGAACTGGACTCCTTGTTAACATGCTAATAAATGCAGATCTCCCTGGCACATCAGCTTTTTCACATGCATGGCATGAGTGGGGAGCACTGCGATGAAGAGGTTGATAACTTACAAGGTGAATGTTCACTCCTGCTGCATTTAAGCACACAGAAAACATTCCTGACTTCCACAAAAAAAAAAAAAAAAGGGAAGTGTAACAAAAACATTGAAAACCCACCTTAAATATAAAAAAGCATTATAGCTGTGTTTTGTAAATGGAATTACCAGTTATGGGAGCTGTAGTGATAGGAGAAGGGGGAATGGCTTCAAACTGAAAGAAAGTAGGTGTGGATTATATGTTAGGAAGAAATT